AAGACGAGTTACGTTATTCGTTACGATCGTTGGAAATGTATGCACCCTGGGTGAGACATGTTTACATCGTTACCAACGGTCAAATACCAAGTTGGCTCGATATGGATAATCCTCGGATAACTCTAGTCACTCATGAAGATATTTTTCTGAATAAAAGTGATTTACCAACTTTTTCTAGTCCTGCTATTGAAAGTCATATTCATAGGTGCTTGGAAATGTGAGATACATCGGTAGCCCATTGACAAAAGTTGTTATCTCCATTGAATTTTTTTTTAAGCAAGAGCAATAAACTTTTATAGAAAATTTTTCTCGTTGAAGCTATCAGTAAAATTTTCTTTTTAAAAAATGGAAAAAATAATTATTTTTAATAAAAAAAACGTATGATACAATCTAAGAAATATAATTTCTATATAATTTCTATTTATTAAAATAGAATACATTTAACTGATTTTGCAGCTAAAGATTTTAGCTGATTGTGAAATAAAATCTATGATATTTATTAAATATAATGGATGGATATAACTGCATTTGCAATGTAGATTTGGGGATTTAACTTTTTTTGCACTTCATACAATAGGGATAATTTAACTTTTTTTCCAATTAGTTTCAATTCACTTTATAAGGTTTGTTAATTGTTTCAGCACATTTTTTAAACATTCAATTCGTAATAAAAAAGAAATTTCAAAATCTAATTTTTTTATATTTTTGGATATAGCTGCTTTTGCTATTGGTTACTCACATATAACAACTGCACATATAGACATGCAACATTTATCTTGCTTCTTCCAGGATACCTGGAGTCTCTGATAAATTTTTATATTTTAACGACGACGTCATGTTAGGTGCCGAAATCTGGCCAGAGGACTTTATAACTCAAGCAGGTGGACAAAAAATATACCTGGCATGGTGGGTTCCTGATTGCTCTGAAATTTGTCCATGGGCATGGGTTGGTGACGGATCATGCGACTACGCTTGTAATACGACATTATGCGAATTTGATGGTGACTAAATTATCCCTTTATAATAATGATACACATGAATTTTTAATGAATTGTTTGAAAGAACATTGTCTATCCCGATGGATTGCATAGGCGGAGACTGTCAAACGACTGATGTACCTATAGATAGCGAGGTAATGGAAGAGGAAGATGATTATCCTTACAAATATCTGCAAGATTCTCGTGAAAATAGTAATGAGTTGAAACTATTAAATATATTGCGCAAAAAAAACGTTGTTTATTCATCACGAAAAAATGCACACAGAGTATCCGAAACGCAAACATTGCATTCATATAATTTTAATATTTCTTCTGAGCCGACCTATAAGTTTTACGATCTTGGAAATAGTAGTAATTCTAGGAAATTACAAGTACGAGGTACGAAATTTGACGATAAAAAGGATTATAAACTTACGAGAGATTTTAAGCCTGTATATTCCAAATTTTTACACACAAACACTTTGAACAAAACTGCATATCATATTAAACGATTAAAACATTATCGCAATATCATGAATGTGGCACAGTCCAACAATTCAATTAAATTTGATAAATTTGCATATCCTAATCAATGGAAACGTAACGCACGAGGGCTGGACACTTATGCAGAGTCTTTGTTATATGTTAATAAGATATATAATGCCGCTTATGGCCTTGAACGAAGAAGAGTGCCAGCACACATGCCACACTTAATAGATAAATGGATCGTAAATAATATGCAAGAGAAATTTGAGTCAGAATTTAAGAAAACGTCTAGTCATAAAGTGAGAGATTCTGAAGACATGCAATTTGCATTTTCTTATTTTTACTTTTTATATAGTGAACAACGAAAGGTATCCGTCGGGGAGATATTTGACATGTTTGACACTGATAAATCACGGTAAGAACGTGTTAGCTGTTGATGATTATCAAATTGATATTGATTAGAATTATATATACAGGGCGGGCTATTTTAATGTCCCTTCAAAATTTTTTATCTTTGATTTTAGAAAAAAATGTTTTAGATGAAAATGAAACGATTTTCGAGAGAAACATTTCATGTTGTTTTTCTTGATGGAGCGTCCAAAAGATATAAAGATCACCTAAACTTTTTTAAATGAAATTATATGATTTTTTTTACATAGTAAAATGATCTCTAATTATTCTGTACTACATAAAAGTATAGAGATATAAAAACCAGTTCACCAGATATTTTTATATATTTTATTCTAGCATTAACATAAAATATTATTAGTAATCGTAAATTATTTTTGATAATTGTATTATACTTTAATACTTTTACGAACAAAATGAGATGAATCATACTATGTAAAAAAATCATATAATTCCGTTCAAAGAAAGTGGAAGTGACCTTCATATCTTTTTGACGCCTCTACTTAAAAGAAAAAAGTATGATCAAAATACGTTTTTCATCAACGCAAGTATGTTCTACTTTTATCTAAAACATTTTTTTCTATAATCAAAAATTAAAGTCTGGGAGCGAAATATTAAAATGGTGGGCCACTTTATATAAATCTTTTCGATAATTTGTATATACACACGCACGCATACGCGCGCGCGCGCGCGCGCTCACACACACACACACACACATAAATCAAGTGATGTTTTTAGAACTTGGTCGGACAGAGAAATAAGGACGCTTCTATCGAGATTATATCCACTGCCGCTCGATTATAATTTAGTTATGGAATTCGAAAGTGAGATAATAAATTGTTCACATCGCATGAATCTATCAAAAATTATTGAGATTCCACCAGGAGAAAGATACCTAGATTCTACTCTCGTAAGTACGAATTGCACTCTTCATTTAATATATACTTAATATTTAGTATAATAACGACTAAAACATTGCAATCCTTTGTTTTTCACAGCCGGTAGTTTCTAAAGAATTGATATTGAACTGTGAAACAATTTTTAGAAAGATGCAATCAAAATTCGGCAAAAGTAGCCGGTATCCGCATGAAATAATAAAAACCGGCAAAAATGAAATTTTCGAAATGTTGACCAGCAACGTTTCCTTAACGGTACAATTGCTCGATGAAATTCGAAGGGATCCTAAGTATGTGTCTCACATCCATACTATATATCAGGCCTGTACAAAACAACTCGTGTCATAAGCCAAAATGCTTCTATCTCTTTGGTGCTCTGTCTCGGTAGAGCGAGAAAGCGTATTTAACAAAAGCTAGATTAGCAGCGCTTCGTCTGAATTCAGATCTGTCCACAAGTTGTAGTATGCAACATTGCAACAGTACGTCGCAGCAATATTGCTGTACTTTTATACTGTATGAGAATATTCATATTTTTTATAATAAGAAAAAAAACAAGGAAACTTGAAGAAGATTGGTATAACATCATTATGGGTGTCAAGGATAGAGGCAAAAAAAAAACAGTTATTGATTACAGATAGGCCTCTTTCATCGACTTCTGGTTAAATTAATTGACGATCAACTTGCAGAAGTGCCAACAGCAGTTTAATGTATCAGAATTCTCTTCCTCTTCTGAGACAAAAAAAAACAAATTTGGGGAAATGTAAAAAAATTGCTCATATATAATTATACAGGCAGGGGCATTTAAAACAGGTATTTTCCATTATTGACTTCGCGTAATCTTGAATGACCTTCAATTATAGGTCATTGTATTCTTAAAATGTTCTATCAGAATGTAAGTAAAAAAACATATCATTCCATTTAAAAAAACAGATTTGACCTTTGCCTATCCTTTACGCCTCCACCTACAAAACAATTATTGACATAAAATTATGTGCCCCTCGAAACCAAGCAACTTTTGTTTGACACTTTTTCTTCTATTGTTAAAAACAAGCGAGTTATTCGAGGTGACCTGTTTTAAATGTCCTCCCCTATATAAAATTATACATAATTATATTATATGAGGAATTTTTTTACATTTCTCCAAATTTGATTTTTTCTAAAGCAAACAATGCGAAAATTATCTCTTTAATTATTTTTGATGTTTTCTCATTATTGTTGTTAACATTATTGTAGGCAATGGAAATCCAATACATCGACAAATTGTTCTTAGTTGCCTGTTCCACATTTTTTATTCCATGAACGTTTGTAGTGGTAAGTTTGTATTAGTATATCGAATTATATCCCGGAACTCTGATCAAAAGGCTCATTATTCCTTGTTCTCTATTGTCTGTATTTTTCATTGTTTCCACTTTTACTTTACCGAGACGGTATAGCGGAGAGATGGAAACGTTTCGACTCACGAACCGAGTTTTGGACAGGCCTGCTATATATTATATCTTTCTTTTTTCTATTTCTCTTAAATACTCTTAAATAGGAACAATTCACATATATAGGAACGATTTACATAATATGTATTAATTCTTTCAGGAAGTTTATCTGTTTGAACGATGACATGGACCCTATTAGACATTCTGAGAACGAAATCGTTCGCGCTTTGTTAAACGATTTTTATCGTTCATTGTATCCGCTACGAAGTACTTTCGAATTACCGTCGCAATATCGAAATCGTTTCTCCCATCTACACAAACTTCTTGAATGGAGAACGAGTCGTGCTAAAGCTAGAAACTTATTACTGTGCCTTCTAGCATTGCTCCTTATGCTTACGTTTTATCACGTACTCTATCATCATATGCGCAGATTGTGCAGAACTCGAGAATTGTCTACGTTTCTTGTGTGAAGAATATTAATTCTAAATTATTAATGTATATAGATTTATACAATGAAACTAAAAATGTTAATCATCAATATCATACGTAATGTTGATTTATATATAAGTTATTTATGAATTAAATAAGTTTAAGAACATTCGTCTATATTCGGAAGATCTGTCTGTTGAGAATTTTTTGATTCAACTTTTTCTAAAACTAGGTAGCGATATTTCTGTGTTACAATAAATGCTTTTTATAATCATAAAAAATTCAATTTTATACACACACACACACACACACACATACACGCAAACACATATATATATATATTGTATATATAGGAACGTTCAACTAAAGCTGTGCGATAATTACGTCTCTAGATCAAAGATTTTAATCTTGCCAGTTATTTCGTGTTTATTTGTGTTCTTCGCATTCATTATTATGAAATAACGAGACGTTATCATGACTTTGATATCGATCGTTCGTGTAAAGATGGGCAGTTCATGTGTCGAATATTTCGCGGCCCGACCATACCCTCTTGCAGTCTCGCACACTCGAGCATCCATGCCGTTACGTTTGCAACTCGCTCGGCTGACAAACGTGGTCCTATACCTATATTTCAATTTTAGATCTAATGGACAAGTAACAAATTAGTGGACAATTATTAACTGTTTGAGTGCCACATAGCATGATCACACTGCTCACTTTTTTCATATTTTTTATTAAAAAAGTTTTATCAGCGTGACAAGTTTACTGATAATATGCTCATTGTCAGTTTCTAATTCTAAAAATCTATGGACGGTATTCACAGTTAATTCTTATATTCAAGACCATTTTAATGCAGTCTCAAGATCAACATACAGTCACGAACCAATTAAAAGGCCATATTACGTCTTTTTCTTAAGACGTCTAATAAAAATGAACTATGGACATCAGAAGTTTTTTTTTTCAATTTATTAAAAATGAATAGAAGTATAGTAAAAATTTTATATTTATAGTATCTACATTTTTTTACGTCTAACAAGAAGCGTAAATGAATCATATTTTTTATACAGATTTTTATAATCACTCAAACAGCTAATTGTAAGATATAAGAGGATGTTTAGTTACCTGGCACATTCGGAAAGCAAGTAATTTTCGCATCCTTCTCTACTCCAGAAGATAAGTTTCTATCACTATTAACGTCTTTTACTTCACAGAATTTCTTACTGATATCATTGTTATCTGTGCTGTCTTTATCAATCGAACTATCATCTTTTTGATTAGTCAAAGATTTATTTCCTTTTTCTTCATAATTAGCTTCTCCTTCGAATAAACTGTTCTCTATCAGCTCTGTTGACAGATCAGCTGCAAAATGTGGAATTTAATAAGTAAGTTCAACGAGCGTGAGCTACGTAAAACTTCGTTCAAACTAAGATATTCATAGTTGATTCTTATTTTAAGGCCATTTTAAGTAATGTCTTAAGATGCTAATACAGCTCTCTGATTAATTCGTGACATTTTAAGACTGTACTTAAGACAGACTTAATTATAAGAATCGACTATAAATATCTAAGAAACATTGTCATTAATATTATAAATAACAAAAATGTAGAAAATGAATTACGGATGATAAAATTTCAATGACTATCATTTTTATTACTTGATATGTATTCGGTAATGTATTTGACAATAGTATTGATTACTTTTGTTATCACATTTTTAAAATGTTAATGTAAATTTTATATTAAAATAACAATAACAATTTATTAATTTTTTTTGCTTAATATATAATATTAGGTAAGAGATCTTAAAAAAAAAGAAAAAATTTCAGATTCGATCTAGTTTAAAAATGATATATGTATTTTACTAAATAAACTGAAGTGTGATAATAGAGATTATGTGAAAAATAGAGAGACAATGATATTTATAACTAGAATATGCGAGATTTTATAGTACAGACATATCTTTGTGAAGTTTTCAATAAATTATACGGTAGCATATTATCCATTCCATGAAAAAGATTGTAATTTCATAAAAGAACTATACAGAATAATACTTATTCAACAACTAAATATGTAGCTCTGTGTCACATATCGTGTAAACAAAAGTTACACGTGTGTTCGTATATTGACACCAATCGTCGACATTCTATTAATTTTTAATTTTTAGTACCTCAATATCAAAAATATTTCGTAAGCAATAATGTCATTGATGTCACTTTACATTTTAGAACCGTTCTTAGTATTTGTCGACATTGTGTGAGATAATATTGTATATCCGACAAAATATAATATTACCGATAAATATTCTACAATTTTTCGAATTTAAAATTGAATCTTGTTATACTTATTGTTTACAACTTGTTGGATACGTATTGTTTAGAACTTGGTAAAAATATTTCCGAAAATTTTTCACATAATTTTTCAGAATTTCTACATAAATTTGAGAATTTTTCAATTTCTTTATAATTTTATAACTTTTTAAAAAATTTTTCAGATTTTTTAATACAAATTAGGATATTTTTCAAAAATGCTGTGAAAGTTTTCATCTTTTCTATAATTTTCCATACATACATGTACATTCTGAAGTATTCTAAGATTTTTTATTCTGTGATTTCTGAAGAAAACTTATAAAATCTGAAGAAGGTTAAAATTTCTTTAGTCTTTATAAATTTAAAATCTTAACAATTAAATTCTTAAAAATAGAATTTTTTTACCAGGGATATTTCCGACAATGTTTCTTTCAGTCTGGACGAGAATATATAAGAATTAATGTAGTCGAATAACATACTTTTCGATAGATCAACCTCATCTTTGGATATCAGGTCTGAATCTAAATTAATGTCCACATCGGTATCTTGGCTATTTACAGAACATGTTGTATGATCGACGGAACTCTCTTTGCACATTGTACGCTCTGTTGTATCCTGATCGAACGTGTTCTTCTCATTGCCATCGCATGCAAGTCCCGCTAAATATCTATTTATTTCGAACGTTAAATAGATATTCATCAATGACTATGTTTAACAAAGAAGCAACTTTGCAATCGTAAAATTTTTTTATATGATTGTCCCTTTAGAGCCAGTAAGGAACTAAGAGCAAAACTAATCATATTAAAAAACTTTATAACAGTTGCAAAGCTACTTTTCCTTGTTGAACGCAACTATGTATAGGAATCTGTAGGAATCAGAGAAATAACTGGTATTGTGTGTGTTATGCCGAGCTTACTCGTATATCTCCATAAACAAAGTGAGCGGGATCATCGCAGATCCTCCGTCTGGCTCGTGGCTAAACAATTGGCAAACCATGATCATCGTCTCGGTGAGATTGGCGCCGAGCAGGCCCACCGCTACAGCGAGGAACTTCTTCACCTGGCAAGTATGATGGAATCTACCGATCGCAAGGATCGTATCGAAATCCCTATGATCCAGGCAGAGGCAATCCCAGCGACGCAAGATTGTCTCGATCGGAAGCATCTTGTTGTAATCTGAAAAAGATTACCGTAATGATGAAATATCTTATTGAGGACCGGTTTGTCATACAACTCGCGCCGTACTTCCAAACTGCCGCAATAGCACCCTGAGGAAGCCCAAGGTCAAGCCGGAAGCCGTGCTCGGTGGCGGGTATTCGAGTCGCGACTTAATCGGCGGCTCCTCGCCATCGGCTAGTGCGCGGAAGTACGAGCTGGACCACTTGAGCAAATCGTAAGGCTGCGTGCGTATCGCAGCCTTACAGAACTGCTTCAGGATTATCGGCAGTCTAGCTGGCACCGCGATATCCCGCCCGAACATCGGCTGCTCGACGAACGACATACTCGCAACAACAATCGCCGTCCTCCACGGATCGGCTCGGTCGATTGTTGTGCACCTGAGTGATCCTCGTTGTCCGGGAAACCATCGTCGATGACGGCTTGACGCACGAGCGCGCAAAGTACATGATTCATATAAGGATGATTTTAAATTTTAATCGGAAATGGATTTAGCTCCTTTTCAAATATAAAAAATGAAATTGTGCCATTTGGCAGGTCTTATTCTATATATAATTATTTTTGTTGAATATGCCGTTACACATCCCCAGCAAGCGAGAATGGATTAAAATAAATTGAAATTTTTTTCTATCTGAATGCGTATTTCAAATAGCGAATATACTTTTTTTGGATTTAATTGAATTCG